GATATTCCACCACAAAAGGTCCCCTTCCTTCATGCAACTTCCAGGGAGTGCAGAGTGTACACTTTAGAAAGTGTATACAATAAATCCTCTAATTAGTGCCCAGGGCGCTTATTTCAAATTTAGGACAAGACGGGGGACGCTTATTCAAGGGGGGCACTTAATCGAGGGGGGGCTTATTTAATTTTTCCCAAATCGTGGCCTGACATGATCATTTTTTAAATACATCATCTGCACATAAACAACAAAAGCTGTTTATCGACATAAAAAGCTGATCCTAAACTTTAAATCACAACACCGTTAGTACTTGTAATTTTTTTCCAAACTTAATGTGTTCACAAACTGAAACAATGCACAAACCTAATACTACACAATGAAAACTAGACATCCTTTGTTATCTCATTACTCATCCACAAAATGGGGGAAGGGGAGGGGGGTGCTTATTTCAAATTTTGGTCGATAAGAAGGGCGCTTATTATAAGGGGGTGCTTATTCGATGGGGGGCGCTAATTCAAGGATTTACAGTATACTGTATCCTCACTTTGAACACTCCAAGAGGGTTGGTGTTCTGAATGCCAAACGTTTTACAAAAATATGAAGCTAGACTGAAATTTCCAAAGGAGGGGGGAAGATATCGCCGTTTCTGGAACAAAATGATGTGGTATATTTGATGATTGACCAAGTGGTAGAAATGTGATAATCATGGGAGAGAGGAGCTGACACCACAGGATGAAATGACATTCATGTAGGGAAGAAATTAAAACATAAGTTCATTCTATACTTTAACCAAAAGAAACACACAGTGAATGATTTCAGAGTATATGATTTAATTTCAAACTGCACCTATTATCATAGTTAAAATCTTGCTCTAATAAGAAAGTTATGAGATACTACAATGTACAATTTTAATTTCCCTTGAACATAGTGTCAAAACTGCAAACTTGGTGTAATTATTCTAAAACGTTCCCAATTAAAATATAGCATTTCATTCTTTAACAAAAGCTTTCTTAGCTGGTTCCACTGGTGAGGTGGTTCCATTTTTTAATTTCCTCTTCAAGTGTTTTTTAGCTGGCTGTTCATGTGTTTGTTTACTTTCACCATTTTTGTTCCCATTATTTACAAGATTCTCAGGTGAGTTGTGACCTGAACAGTCCTCAGTCTCCTGAATGATGTCAAACTCATGTGTGTTCAGTCTCCACTGGGCTTCATCAGGGTCGGTAGCACCCTCCTCCATGGTCCTCTCTACATAAGTAGCATGACCACTGCCATCAACTAACACCA